TTGCTTGCCAGGCATAAAAGAAAGAGTTTTCTGCGTCGTATAGTCACTGGTGATGAAAAATGGATCCACTATGATAACCCAAAGAAGAGAAAATCATGGGGACCACCTGGCCATGCTTTAACATCGACAGCCAAACCGAATATTCATGGAAAAAAACTCATACTGTGTATTTGGTGGGATCAGCTTGGTGTCGTGTATTATGAGTTGCTCAAACCGAGCGAAACCATTACTGGAGCTCTCTACCGAACACAATTAATGAGATTGAGCCGAGCACAAGGAAAAACGCGCCCATTATTACTCCAAACACGACAAAATTATTCTCCTACATGACAACGCTCGGCCACCTGTTGCAAAACCGGTCAAAACTTATTTGGAAACACTTAATTGGGAAGTCCTACCTCACCCGTCGTATTCACCAGACATTGCCCCTTCCGATTATCACTTGTTCCGGTCGATGGCACATGGCTTGTCTAAGCAGCGCTTTACATCATATGAAGATACTAAAAATTGGGTCGATTTGTGGATAGCCTCAAAAGATGAAGAGTTCTTCCGACGTGGTATTTGAATGCTGCCAGAAAGATGGGAAAAAGTAGTGGCTAGTAATGGACAATACTTTGAATAAAACATAATGTACCATTCTTTCACAATAAATTCCTAATTTTTGATAGAAAACGGTGGAAACTTATTTGTACTCCTAATATTAAAAGAACGGATGAAAATGTTCGTAACAGAGTCCAACCAGAACATCATATAGGTAATTAAATTTTAAAAAGAATACCTTCAGTTGATATGATTAGCAGTTTTCCTTTAGAATATATGCATTTAGTGTGCCTTGATGTAATAAAAAAACTAATTTGGATATGGAACTTTCGATTCAAATTGGATATGGAACTTTCGATAAAATAAATTCTCTCGTTGAACCATCGGTTATGATTTAAAATTACACCAAAAATAAATGGCAATACTGTTTTGCAAACGACTGTACAATTTAGATAATTTGTCTTTCAAACATTCTATGAAAATTCTATGAACATTTTTGACATAGTATTCCTCGGATATTATTTGAATATATTACTACATGTTCTCTTCATATACTAGTATATCCTTAAATATAAAAGAATATATGTGAACGAGATACAAGAGCATACCGACGCAAAACAATGTTTGTCATACATCTATTGCTATGACACACTGATTCGAAAAACGGAAATCAGGGTTAATTGTAGTATATTAGGTGTACAAATGAATAATCCAAATTATTTTAAGCAGTTATGAAATCAATTTTAAATTGAATAGATTTTCCCGCTCTTTTGTGATTATGCAATGTTGACATATAGCGATTAAAAAAAACACATAGTTTGGCGAAAGGCCCAACATAACCTTCAAAAGTATTCAGTTCAGTACAGTCGAAAATGGCAACAGATAAGGTATATATCCGACACTGCATTCTTTACGAATTCCAACAAGGAAAAAATGCTGCAAGAGCGTGCGAATCGATTTGTTCCTTTCTCGGCGAAGTATTGTATGATGTGTGCGCATTTTTGTTTAAGTGGATTAAAAGCGGTAATTTCAGTCTAATCGACAAACAACGCCCTGGAGGCCCTCCGAAGTGCGATAATAATGATTTGGAACAACTGCTCGCTGAGAATTCGGCACAAACACAAAAAGAGCTTGCAGAACAGACAGTTGGGAGTTACGCAACAAGCGATTTCCAAACGCCTACATGAGATGGGAAAGATCCAGAAAGAAGGAAAATGGGTTCCGCATAAACTCACTGAAATCAACAAAAATCAACGAGTGGCAGCGTGTCTTTCTCTTCTCAATAAGCAGCGTCGAAAGTCTTTCTTGTGGAAAATCGTTACGGGCGATGAGAAATGGATACTCTACGACAATCCGAAACGCAGAAAGTCATGTAAATCCCGGCGAATCATCAAAATCGATCGCAAAACCCAATCACTTCGGAAAGAAGGTTCTTCTCTGCATTTGGTGGGATATCAAGGGCGTGCTTTATTATGAGTTGTTGGAACCGGGTAAAACAGTTACTGCGGACTGCTACCAATGTCAATTAATCTGCTTGAGTCAAGAATTGGAACGAAAACGCTCGTATACTGGCAAAGAAGAACGTCCAGTGAAATTGTTGCATGACAACACCAGGCCATACATTGCTTCCAATATAAAAGACATCATAATGAGTCTTGGCTGGGACGTCTTGCAGCACCCGGCGTATTCACCAGACATTTCTCCATCCGATTATCATTTGTTCCGGTCGATGCAACACGCCTTGTCCGATATGCACTTCCAATCAGTGGATGAGATCCGAAAATGGCTTGACGACTTTATCGTGTCCAAAGACATAACATTTTTCCGAGATGGAATTCATCAGCTGCCTGAAAGATGGCTTAAAGTTATAGAAAGCAACGGTGAATACTTTGATTGAACAATTTAATTTACTTTCTTTTAAAATAAACCTTGAATGTAGCTAAAAAATTGGATTATTCATTTGTATACCTAATAATTTTATTTGCAATTATATTCTATTACATTGTTACGTCCTGCGGACTTCGCGCATTCTAGACCTCTTTTATAAACAAGGAAAATTGAATTTATTATTATTATTATATGTTATCACACGACGCGATGACCCTAGAATCTTTGAAAATTCCAATCTCCAAACCAACTCCGATCTTGTTCCCATGCGCTCAGTCTACGTTAACAATACCGAGACATCCTCTTTAAAAAATATCGACATTTCCTTCTTAAGATAGCTGCCACATTTTGTAAACTATCTAAATCCTCTTATTGCCACATGCTCCCTATCTCCTAAAAAAGAAAAATTTATCTTACGCTCTTGACTCAACCTCTAAAAACATTTGAAGCACAGTCCTATGACCATATTTGAGCATAACAATTTAGACCCCACTCCCTCAACCGAGCTGACTTTTTGGGAAAAGTCAAAAGTCTCAGCCTCTTCTCGCTGAGCCAGCAGCCAAGAAAGAAGCTTCTCTTAAATCACTTAGTGTCTAGTGGATATACCAAGTTACATTTTTACTCATTCGATTCTCTATAAATTAGCTCGGTTGACTCATTATCATCACCAATGGTAACCAGTCTTCACACCAACCCCGAAAATACGGATGCTGTCCAGAACCTAAGGCTGTCATCATACGATATCCGGAGTCGAGGCCGACAACAGGCTATTATCCTTCACCCAAAGGGAACCACCATACGGCAACAGTAAGCCTTTCTTCTTGTTTTGTTTTCTCATTTATTATTTTTTTCCTTACTACCTGCTCCCTTCTCTTATTTGTCTTCTCTCTCCCGTTTTTCTTTCCCTTTTCTCCCTTTCTCTAACCCCCTTGGCATGTCTCCTTAATTGTGGAATCCGATTGCAGTGGCTCAATGTTGTCAAGTTCAAACGGACCTAACTACCTCAGAAAAGTACGAAAACCGCGAAGATTTTGAAGTCGCCTCATTAGAACTCGCATTACAAGATCGCCCTGATTACATTGTTCGCCATAACGAATCCGAAGTTTCAAGATTTGCACATTTTCATTTGTTGTTCCTTCTCGATTCTCCCCCCAGAACTCCTCCTATATCTTACTCCCCAACATCCCTGAGTCCCACCGAAGACCGATCTCCTATAGGTTCTCCTTTATTTTGGAGCCCATCCCCGACACCTTCCCCTCCAACCTCACCTCTACGAGGGGGTACGCGTGGCTTCCACGCGGCCTTATTCCGTGGCCTCATTCCTATTTATTCTCCCTCTCCCTCAGAGGCATCCTCGCATCGATCTTCTCCCTCACCAAGCGCTTCCACGACACCTGATCTTCTCGTACCTAAATATCCCTCGGAATAATTAAAAGTAGCCTCTAGAACCGCGAGCACATAAATATATACAGGGTGTTTGATAGCTCATCATGCAGACGAAAGTTGGAGATAGATTGGGTGTAGCCGAGAAGAAAAGTCATGTACCATAATGTCAAATTGCCAATAGTTATCGAGTTATTAATTAAAACATGTGAGCCAACGAGCGCGTAGAGAGCGAAGGGCGACCGCAGTAAGCACATAGACATTTGATACAGGCGGAGTCAGCGAGTGGCGATAGGCGAGCGCGCGCGGCGAGGGGCAACGTAAACAACAAGAGGCGAGCGAGCGCGACGAAGAGCGAGCGAGCGCGAACGACGAGGAGCGAGCGAGCTATAAGGAAAAACCTATAAAGAAAAAGCTCGCTCGTTCCTCGTCGCGCGCGATCACCTTTTGTCGCTTACGTTGCCCCTCGCCGCGCGCGCTTGCCTACCGACACTCTCTGACTCCGCCTATATCAAATGTCTACGTGCTTACTGCGGCCGCCCTCCGCTCTCTACGCGCTCGTTGGCTCACATGTTTTAATTAATAACTCGATAACTATTGCCAATTTGACATTATGGTACATAACTTTTCTTCTCGACTACACCCAATCTATCTCCAACTTTCGTCTGCATGATCAGCTATCAAACACCCTGTATATATATATATACAATTACACAACGTATATATCTGAAAATCGATTTCCTTGCAACTTAAAATTAATACTTATATCAAAAAATGCACAATTTATAAGTAATACCCAACCACTCGTCACAAATAATTATTTAATGTAAAAATCCTCCCTTTCCTCAACCGTCGCTCACGGTCCTATCCCAGGTAAAGGGATTCAGTTCCCTGACCTAAATAAAGGACCACCGACGTACGTCCGCGCCAGATAAAGGGATCATTCCGATCCTTGATCTATACCGCAGACTTGCAAGTATGTCGGAGCTTGCAAAAGCAAGCGTCAAGTTGCGTTCCTCCTCCAGGACGTAACAACATGTACTTACAATTTATTTATATTTATGTCGCGGAGTTAACTAAAGCCGTAATCGACAGTGTCTAAACGTTCTTACTGGATATTTTCTATCACAATATTTATTGACCTTGCGAAACATTTTCAAGTATGATACTTATGATTCCTTCTTCGGGAGCTAGAACGTTTCTGCTAAAGCGGTAGTGACAATTATCGACGGATGAGGTTCGCATTTCCTGCAATTAATAATTTTTATATTGATAATACGTCTGTTATACCTACAACGTACCTGAGCCCATTGAGAAGATGTGTGCGCTGCAGAATAGAACGACTTCTTATCTAAAAGCTTAATATTAAATGAGCAATTTCGGGTGGTAGTTGCACTATGAAGTCCACAGTGCATGGTCGTACCCGTAGAAATGCTACTAATTTCATGAATGCCTCCATTTCGTGTGCTTCTAACAAAGAGAGTCTAAAAAATGGCTCCTCGTTTCGCTTATCCGAATTATACAGAGCATTACATCCCTACCTTTTCCTCCACCTACTACGTATTCTCTACAAATCAACTACGTTTCAAGTTCCTTCGGCCAATTAAAGCACTCGCTTCCCCTCCATTGCCATGTTAAATGATAACGTCATAAATGAGAAAAGCCACGTTAAAATTTCTTACGAATGTTTCAGGTGTAATCCAGCTTTTGCGACCGTCTGAGCAGTCTCCCAGCGCAATCTCCAATTCTGAATCTTCGAGAACTTTCTCTCTTCCACCGCTATGCTGGCCTTCGACGTGAAAATCACCGTTCTTGAAGCGTTGAAACCACTCATGACACGTTCTTTCACTAATAGCGGCCTCACCATAAGTGTTTGAAAGCATTCGAAGAGCCTCAGCTGCAGATTTCCTCATATTGAAGCAGAAAATTAAAACCTCCCACAAATGACGAGAATTTGGCTCGTAAACTGACATTTTCAATCGAGAATAACTTTATGATGCAGACATAAATCGACTAATGTTTATATGGGGTTATGTTGACAGATGCCCAAGTTTATTGCATGACGTCTATGATCTATTTATTTCGACCACTTTTAGGATTTTTGTGCCCTCTTGCTCCTCGCCGATGCAAGTGGAGGGTAGGTTCCTAAATCAACCTAGGCGTGTTCTTCTTTGGTCCCTTTATTGCGCACGTGCCTGCCAGCTGCAGAGCACGTGAATCACAGGTACAACTTATGCGTCTTGACAATACAAAAACAGTTCTCTGCGCTCGCACGACATATGAGCCACAGCGGGACTCGTATGTATATGTGTGTGGGCCGAACGGAGCCGATGCTCCTGCCTGCCCGCTCCCGCACAATCGCGACCGCGTGCAGAAATCGCGGTGTCACACACGACAAAGAAACAAATACTCAGGCTATGACTAGCGATCGTATTATACGTTGACTCTGTGAGCGCTTCCAACGGTTACTAACTCGTTGGTCTTTTTCCCCGCACGAGTGACACTTGCGCACGCTCTATAGCGCCGCACGGAAAACGGATGCGTGCGCTTTTGGGGAGCTCAAAGTCCCCACAGGTACTCCCCCCTCAGTGCCTCTCTAGACAGAGAGGAACGAAACTTTTTTCTTTTTTGCGTACATTTTGAATTGTGGCGCGGATGAAGTGGACGGACGCGGATCACTCGTTTGCGGCTGTTCAGAGCCGTTGTTCTCCAGCACTATGAACGCGGGTTTTAACAACTCTGTTGATAAGGTTTTTTCCTCACCATTGATATCCACCAGGAAAACGCGGTCTGTTATGCGCCTGATTATTCGGTGAGGATCCGAATACGGCGGATCGAGCGGCCGGCGAACAGAGTCAATGCGACGGAAGACATGCGAACAAGTGTACAAATCTCGGAAAACGAACGGTTTCACGTTCGTGTGATGAACTGTTGCCGTTGGACGGATCTTACGAATATATTCGCGGAATTTTTCTAAAAATATAAACGGATCAGCCGGTGGATCCTCATGAACAAAAAATTCACCCGGTAACCGTAGTGTTGTGCCGAAGAGAAGCTCTGCTGGAGACGCTTGCAGATCCTCCTTCACGCATGCTCTTAGGCCAAGAAGAACGGTTGGTAAGATGTCTAGCCACGGTGTTGGTGCATGGCATCTTAGTGCTGCCTTCAGGGTGCTATGCCAGCGTTCGATGAGTCCGTTCGCTTGTGGATGATACGGCATAGTGCGAATCCGAGTTGCACCAATTAGTCGCGCTAATGACTGGAAGAGTGCAGATTCAAATTGCATTCCCTGATCTGCGGTGATCGTCAGTGGAGTCCCGAAGTTGCATATCCAGTGATTGAAGAGAGCGGATGTTACAGTGTCTGCTTCAATGTTCGGTAGTGGAAGTGCAACTGGCCATCTGGAAAAACGATCTATGATTGTGAGGCAATAGCGGTTACCTCGTACAGGCGGTAGCTCTATCAGGTCCAAATGGATGTGATTGAATCGGTTGTCCGTTGCTTCGATATATTCAGGCCGTGGTTTGTTGTGTCTGCTGACTTTTGATCGCTGGCACGGTAAACACTCACGTGCCCAGCGAGAAACATCTTGGTTAATGCCTGGCCAGATGAATTTTTGTTTGATGCACTTCAGCGTTGAGCGAGCGCTCGGATGAGCCGGACCATGGATGACGTCAAATGCTTTGCGTCGAAGTGGTTGTGGTAGGTACAGTCGTACGATGCCCATCGAGACATCACACCAGATGTCTTCTTCTTCGATTCGAAGGTGGTTCAGCTCGAGCGACGTGGATCTTACGATGTCTGCGAGTTCTGGATGTGCTTCCTGCGCGTTTGCGATGATTTCTGCTGAGAGTGTGCTTGGCATCTCAATTGCGTTGATCCTGGAGAGCGTGTCTGCAACCACGTTGTTTTCGCCTTTCACATGGACTATGTCCGTGGTGAACTGCGAGATGTAGTCCAGTTGTCTTAGCTGGCGTGGCGAACTCTTTTCTGCCTTTCTGCTGAAAGCGTATGTTAGCGGTCGGTGGTCTGTCCGTACCTGGAATACTCTTCCTTCAAGTATGTGTCTGAAGAACTTGACGGCAGCGAACACAGCAAGAAGCTCTCGGTCATATGTGGAGTACTTCTACTCGGTTGGAGAGAGTTTCCGTGAGAAGAATCCAAGTGGCTGCCAGTGTCCGTCTATCTGCTGTTCGAGTGACGCGCCTATAGCGGAGTCCGCAGCATCAGTCGTCAGTGTGAGAGGTGCTGTCAATGCATCCTTGCATTTCTGGAACGCAGCCTCTGTCTCCATTGTGCAGGGAATCTCTCGCTTGTCCCTCTTCTTCGCCTCCTTCAGGTGTTTGGTTAGCTTGCTGTTGAGCAGCATTCGGCAATACTCGACGGTAATAGTTTACCATCCCCAAGAAGCGACGTAGATCTGCGATGGTCTTGGGTTTTGGAAACTGTTGAATGGCTGTTACCCTGTCGAGTGGTGGTTTAAGTCCAGTCTGTGAGGCAGTATAGCCGAGATAACGCACAGAATCCTGTCCAAAGAAGGATTTGGTCGCATGGACTGGAAGGTTGTTCTCCTGGAGCACTCTGAGAACGGTATCGAGATGTTGAAGATGTTCTTCATGACTGTCTGAGAAGACGATGATGTCATCCACGTAGTATGCAGCAAAGTTGATCCCGTACAGTATATTGTCCATATGTCGTTGGAATGTTTGCGTGGCATTTCGAAGTCCAGGCGGCATGCCTAAGAATTCAAATAGGCCGAAAGGTGTCGTGACAGCGGTTTTGGGGACGTCCTCCGGTGCAACAGGAATTTGATGATACGCTCGGATTAGGTCTAGCGTGGAAAAGACCTTTTTTCCATGCAACTGTTGTAAGATGTCCTCTATTCGTGGAATCGGATATCTGTCTGGAACAGTTTGAGAATTTAGACGCCGGTAATCACCTATTGTGCGCCAGCCACCTTGGTTTTTCTGCACCATGTGTATCGAACTCGCCCATTGACTGCGTGAAGGTTGCACGACCCCGAGATGTAAGAGAAGGTCGAAGTCTGCCTTGGCGGCTGCCAATTTGTCACCTAGAAGTCGTCGTGGACGCTCGAACACTGGAGGTCCTGTGGTCTCTATATGATGCGCGATCCCGTCAAAGCGGATCGCTGAGTGAATTGGCCTTGGTGCGAAGACTGCTGCATGCGAGTCCAGTAGTGTGGCATATGGCTCTCGGTGTGGTGAGTTCGGAAGATTGTGCTGACTGGTTGCTGAGACACTAAAAATGGTTGTCTCACATACCTGACCCTGTGTGGCAAGGCTGGTTTTTGGATCCACAAGGCGTTGTCGAGAGAGATCGATGATTAGACCGTAGTGTGAGAGAAAATCAGCTCCGATGATCGCTGAGTTCACATCAGCAATGATGAACGACCATTTTAATGCACGGCGAAGTCCGAGATCGAGGGTGAGCGGCTGCTGGCCAAATGTGCAGATGGTTGATGAATTGGCGGCGAATAGTTGTAGTTCGGTAAGAGTGAGCTTCCTGTGCACGCACTTCCGAAGAATCAGCGAAACAACGGATCCAGAGTCGACCAGGAACCTAATGTTCGTGGTTCTGTCAAAAACATGGAGTCTTTTCTCACTAGGCGTTGCTGTGCTGTCGCCGATTGCCTGTGTCGACGGCAGCGACGTCAGTTTCCCGCGCCATTTGCATTGGTAGCTTGGAGTGTAAAGCTGCACGGCTGCTGGCATCGTCTCGCAGCAGCACCGAAGCGGCGGTGGTAATAGCACCACTGACTGGTTAGTTGCTGAGTATTACGAGAGCGCGACCTGGAACGTGTACGTTGACGCTGGGTGAGCTGTCCTTGGTGGACAACAGCAGGCAACAGGCGCTCGAGCAGAGTCGTCAGGTGTGCGACTGTTGCATGGTGGTTACTGCTTCTCCTAACCGCTGAATGGTTTGGGTGTCGGCAGAGGCTGCAGCTCCCAGTCTACCTGGTGACGGTGAATGTGGTGCAGCAACTGCAAGAACTTGAGGTGTAGAAGAGCCTTCCATGAGCTCGTCTGCAACTGTTGAAAGGTCCTCTAAGCAGGTTGTCCGAAGGATCTTGAGGACTCGCTATATCCCGGGTGGTAGAAGTGCCAGCCAGCGCACTCGCAGGATGTCCTGTGACACTCGGTCGCCTGCCAGTGTCCTCATGTGACGGAGGAGTTGTGAGGGCTTGCGGTTGCCAAGCTCTAAGTCTGTGAGTAGACGGTGGAGCTGCTTGTCTGCAGAATCTGCGAAACGTGCAAGTAACTGCGTTTTTAAGGTGACATACTTGTCAATGACAGGTGGTGATGCCAGGATGTCTGCTATTTCTTGAATTACTTCAGAGTCGAGTGCACCGATGACAAGGTGATATTTGCCGTCATCAGAGCGGATACAATGTATTTGAAATAGAGATCCTATTTGCGCGAACCACAGAGCAGGCTGCTGTTTCCAAAACGATGGAATCTTACACTCTGTGATAGACTCGATGACACTGTCGTTGAATGGAGGCCCCATGTCAATGAGCGGCTCCAATTGGGATGCACTCCCGTGAGGTAGTTCGATGTGACTTGGCCTTGCCGGTGTGCCGGATGGCTGCTCCGATCCCTTGGACGGAGGGGTGTGATGTAGCGACATGGTGTCTGTTCGGATTCACGGAATGAATGCGAACGCAGTTTTTCTTCAGGCACTGATTGAAATGTGCGTGTGCGGCTGTCGCGATGCAAAGCAGGCGCGAAAAAGTGTATAGCACTTGATCAAAAAATTTTTACCGTTGTGGAACTGCACGTGTCACACTCACGATGACTGCATGCGCAGAGCAGAGTCTCAGCCAATCAGAGTCCGTCACGCATGCGCCGAAGGTCACTACGCGCACAGCACCGAGTCTTCGACCAATCAGAATTTGTCACGCATGCGCTGATAGTCACTACGCGCACAGCACCGAGTCTTCGACCAATCAGAGTTTGTCACGCATGCGCCGATAGTCACTACGCGCACAGCACCGAGTCTTTGACCACTCACAGCTCGATTCTGACCTTTATCGAGGCGAAGCTGTCCGGTGGCGGCGGAATCACCCGATGCGGACAAATGTTTCCAATTTTTAGGAAGTTTGAATTTTCACCGATCGGCAAGGTGACCTCAGCCAGAAGGTCCGTTGGAATGGCACAATGTCTCTCTCTTTTTCGTTACACTGCGAATCTTGTCCGGTTACCAATTTAGGTGTCGGGGTCACCAATTTAGGATTTTTGTGCCCTCTTGCTCTCTCGCCGATGCAAGTGGAGGGTAGGTTTCTAAATCAACCTAGACGTGTTCTTCTTTGGTCTCTTTATTGCGCACGTGCCTGCCAGCTGCAGAGCACGTGAATCACAGGTACAACTTATGTGTCTTGACAATACGAAAACAGTTCTCTGCGCTCGCACAACATATGAGCCACAGCGGGACTCGTATGTATATGTGTGTGGGCCGAACGGAGCCGATGCTCCTGCCTGCCCGCTCCCGCACAATCGCGACCGCGTGCAGAAATCGCGGTGTCACACACGACAAAGAAACAAACACTCAGGCTATGACTAGCGATCGTATTATACGTTGACTCTGTGAGCGCTTCCAACGGTTACTAACTCGTTGGTCTTTTTCCCCGCACGAGTGACACTTGCGCGCGCTCTATAGCGCCGCACGGAAAACGGATGCGTGCGCTTTTGGGGAGCTCAAAGTCCCCACACACTACTTACCGCTAAAGCCATCTATAGGAAAACGACGGAAACAAAGTTGTACATCTAATATACAGGGTGCACGATTTATCTGAAGACATTGAAATATCTCGAGAACTATGCATTGGATACAAAAAAGTGGTTAATGAAAGTTGTTAGTCTCGAAGGGGGACATCCAATGATACCAAACTCGACCTCCCACCCCACCCCCTGGGGGTGGGGGTTGGGGGCAACTTTGAAATCTTAAATGGAACCCCCCATTTTTTATTGCAGATATGGATTCTACGCCACAAAATACGTAAATTTTGTCCGAATTTTTTTTTTTTATTCGTGATAGATGGCGCTGTAATCGCAAAAAAATTATATTTTCCGCAATTCTCCAGAAATGATCATTGGATTGAGAAATAAAAAATACCTGTTCAATATTTTTAAAGAACATGATAAAAGTTATTCCCCTCCATCCTCTCGGGGTAGGGTGGGTGATAACGTTCAAATCTCAAATGGGGACCCACATTTTTCATTGCAGAATTAGATTGTACGTGAAATTTTTATTGAAACAATTTTTTTCATTCGTGATAGATAGCGTTGAATTTTTCCGAGAAACTACTTTTAGCGTTACACAGGAACAACGATGAGGACGTAGTAGTTTTATGTTCCCTTCGGGTGCTTTTTTAATGTGAGTCCCCTTGCCTCTCACAGATCGGGGTGCTTTTTTAATGTGAGTCCCCTTGCCTCTCACTGTTCAATTAATTAGAGTAAGTGTTCGAAATTTTGCACCGCCTTTTATAATAAGTCGTAGTTCGCCATACATCCACAGTGGCGCGTCGAGCAGTTCCCTCTTCGATTCCGGTTCTCATTTGAGATTTGAACGTTACCACCCTACCCCGAGAGGATGGGGGGGAATAACTTTTATTATGTTCTTTAAAAATATTGAACAGGTATTTTTTATTTCTCAATCCAATGATCATTTCTGGAGAATTGCGGAAAATATAATTTTTTTTGCGATTACAGCGCCATCTATCACGAATCAAAAAAAAAGTTTCGGACAAAATTTACGTATTTTGTGGCGTAAAATCCGTATCTGCAATAAAAAATGGGGGTTTCCATTTAAGATTTCAAAGTTGCCCCCAACCCCCATCCCCAGGGGGTGGGGTGGGAGATCGAGTTTGGTATCATTGGATGTCCCCCTTCGAGATTAACAACTTTCATTAACCACTTTTTTTTATCCAATGCATAGTTCTCGAGATATTTCAATATCTTCAGATAAATCGTGCACCCTGTATATATAATCTGATAGGGAAGATCTGGTTATGATGCTTCTGAAGAGAACGCATGAAGGGATATGAGGCCGAGGAATAAGGCTGCGTGAGAACCTCGTGTATCGCCTCGTAGAGG